GGGGGGAGGGAGAAATGAAAGTTATATTAAGTCGTTACTTTTTATATTCCTGAAATACATCCATTATAATTTTTCTTAATGCCTCAGATTTATAGGCTTTGGGAAGATTGAATTTCAGGAGAATGAGCATAGCCAAAAATGTTTCAAGCTGTGCGCCGCAGGGCAAGAGAGGAGACATGAACACTTGTAGTGGCACGGCCCCAACATGGCTGACATGGGGGGCTGCCACCCCAGGCCCCTACCACGATAATGGCCACATCATGGCCATTTATCACCTTTGTCTCCTCTTGGAGAAATGGCATCCATCACCTGACAGTACAGCACAATGCCTGGCAGCCCATTAGGGCCAGGAGGTACCCGCTGCAAAGTGCTGGGGTACAACATGGCGAGGCTCCCAGTGTTCCCATCAGATGGGGTGAGGAAACCCCAGTACCCAGGGGAAATGCCCTACTGCCTGCAGGCCTTCAGTAAAGAAGTGTGTTTGGGAAAAAATGAGAAAAAAATGAGAAAATTGACTCAGTTTTCTGACAGAGGAATGTCAGGCCTTTCAGGTTGTGTTTTTTTGTTGCTGCTGAGTCTTCATACTGCTGCCTGGCAGGATTTTACGCCTCTCTCCTTGATTTTTCCCCTTCTCCCCACATCTTCCAAAGAAGTAATTGAGTCCAGGCCTCATCTGCCCCAGCCACACTTCTGGCACCATCTGAGCCCATATAACAATAACAACACCACAGGATGGAAGGGAGCAACCAAAGCCGTAATAGTTGCTGTAAGCAGGTCGGCATAGCAACATCTCCAGAGAGAGCTCTCCATGGGGTCATCTCCATTCACTTTAAAGCCCACTTGGGCTGCTAGAGTGCTATAAAATGGACTCAGAAAAGCTGTTAATTAGGATTAGCAGCTTCAGGAACATCAAGCCACAGTGCTCCAAGCTGAGCCATTTATCTGAGAGAACTTGGGCCTCTTGACTGCCTTCTGAACCGAGACACAGGACACCACATGTCAAGGTAGACAACTTGGAAATCAGATGGCAGAGCCGCCTGGTCATCTATGAGAGAAGGGTCCTACCCCAGCTGCTGAATGGCACCGCAGCACCTCTTCCCTGAAAGGCCCTGGGAAGGTGCTAAGTCCCTTGTGTAGCAGTAGCACAGAAAGCCAGCTTTGCCATAGCTTCTGTTACATACATAAGCAAAACAGTCTGGTAGGGAAAGGTTCAGCCATTGCCAGGCTGCCATTGGGCTGATTTGCATCTCTCATGTGTTTCTGACCCTGACAAACCTCCTAAGCCAATCTTTTCTGACATTTCCCCTTTCAAAATGCAAGGTGAAACACAGATCTCTCCCTCACATTATTCTACTTCTCTTGGTGTTTTCATCTCCTCAGGGTAAAACACTACCTGAATCAGAGCTGAGCTGAAGGGAAAACTTCCCATCTGGGAGTGGAGTACTATTTTCCTTGCATATGTCACTCGTCCTGGAGAAATACATTAGGTCTGGTCAAAGAAATACCTGTGGCAGCAATTCAGGCATTCACACTGCAATCTGTTTGTCAAGATCACGCAGTTCAGGGCTGCTGGCAGTCATCCTTTCAGCTGTGTCCATCATAAAGGGAAAAGTCTTGTACCATACTGACAGCTGGACCATGTTCAAGCAGATCTGAAATCAATTTTTAAGGCAGAACTGGGCCTACACTCTTCTCCCATTGTAGCCACAGAAATTCTCAGTAGCCTCAAAGAATATATCTGGTAGCAGAGACTCACCCAGCCAGAAAAATAGAAATTCCTACACAAGAGTTTACAGTCAGCATGTTGAAAATGATAAGTACCTGCTGTGGTCCTTGCCATAACGGAGATCTTCTATTGCTCCTCTCCAGGATATGTCCTTCGCCAACCAACCCTTCTGTCACATAGCTTCAGCTAGCCCCAGCAGCATTCAACAGAGATCAACAGCTCAGGGAAAAAAGTCAAGACAGCATGTGAGAAGAAAAAGCTGTAGGAAGAATTTCACAGCTCAAAAGAATATGTACAATGTTAGGTGACTAAATCTGTGAGTAATACCATACATTGGTGCTTTGGCCAAGCAGGTAGAATCTTAGAATAGTTTGGGTTGGAAGGGACCTTGAAAGGTCATCTACTCCAACCCCTCTGCAATGGCCAAGGACATCTTCCACTAGATCAGGTTGCTCAGAGCCCCATCTAAACTGACCTTGAATGTTTCCAGGGATGGGGTGTCTACCAGCTCTCTGAGCAACCAGTGCCAGTGTTTCACCACCCTCATCATAAACATTTCTTCCTTATATCAAGTCTGAATTGACCGTCTTACAGTTTAAAACCATTAGCCCTTTTCCTATTTTGGTACTAAAACAAAAAGCAAAAGGAATCACACAACTCTTGTGGAACCATCTCAAAGTCCCTGCATGTCCCCTCTGTCCAACATCACTGGGATATGAAAACCTAACAGCCAAGTGGAGAAACATACTGAGCTCATTCAGGCACTTCTCACTAGTTTCCCAATTCTGCTTCTCAGTATATTCATCTGGCAGCAAATTATAGATGAGGGCAAAGCATCTCTCCCTAAGCCATCCAGAGATCACAAAGCAACAAAGCAAAATCATAACAGACAAGGAAACTTCTTATGACTCATCTTCTTCCCTCCTTTCCCTCTCCCTTTCCAACGTAGCTGATAGCCCCAGGATTGTTCCACGCAGCCTGGAACCAGAAGGTACCTATTCCTGCTGCAGGCGTAAACCACTTCACCCCAGAGGAGAAAAGATGTTTTTCAAACACAACAAGACTTTTACTTTCATTTCATATAAGTAAAGGAAGAAACCAGCAATTGCATCTCTGTATCTCTCTACTTAGGCATCTTGTACACAGTCTTCTAAGATTAACGGCCCAGTTATGCCAAATGCATGAAATAAAATTGCTATCCCTTTTCCAAAACACTAGCCATCATGCCCAATATGTTCCCCTCCCTCTCCCCCAAAAAACCCCCAAGCCAGACCACCACAACAAAAAGAAACCAACCACCACCAAACCCAACCCAACCAACCAAAATAACCAAACAAGTGGACTCATCAAAGTGAACACAAGAGCAGTCATGATCAGTGCAAAGCAAGCCAGGATGGCTACATATGTAAGAAGTCAAATGAAAGGAAAACAGCCCAATGTCTGCAGAACAGAGAACGTGTTTCTGTCAAATCTTCAGATCCATGTGTCCAAACTGCAAGGCATTTTCATTGGCATTGATTTTGCTGTATCCTACCACATATTTCAAATTACTGTTTGATCACCAAG